TCAGGTAATAAAGATTTGAACTCATAATCTTCATGTATTAAAATGAGTGATAGTAAGACTGATAGGAAAAGAGGTAACACCTATGAAAATGAATGTAATTTAATCTGTTTTCACACTGATCTGTCAGGAACTTGGATAAATTTTGGTCACACACGCTAAATAGCTAAACATTAATTTTATGAAATAAAGACATGTAAAAAGTAATGGATGTAAGTAATGACAAATGTTCCTTTCATCAGTAGTTATAGTAATAGCAATATGTCTTTAGAAGCTGTTTGATTCTGTGGTTCCTGAAGCTGATAAGTATTGGTAGAGGGAGGTTTGCGAAGTGCTGCCATAAGTGTAATCTGATTGACCTCAACAGTGACTTATGAGATCAAGGTTAGGCTTTTTTTTCTTTTCCTTAGAAACAAGTTATTTTCACATTTGATTTTTTTTTCCTTATTATATGTATCCCATTTAAATGTTTATAAAATATTTGAAGATATAGAAAGCTTATGACTAAAATTATATGAAGAGCAATGGTAGGCAGTGATCAGGAAAGAGGCCTGAAATAAGTTTCTCTATCAAAAAAAGGTTGCAATAAGGCTTAATTCACAATCCACGTCCCTGTAAGAGAATCTAGGTCTAACACAAAAATACTTGAAATCTGTTTTGCAGTATTCTGATTATAAGTTCTGGAACACTGATGGGTAGTTTCCTTCCTGTTAGCAAGTTAAGACTAGAACTGTATTCAGTTATATTAGGAGACAGCAAAATTCAGTGGAGCATGGCTGGCAGGAGTTAATGGAAAGGAGAGAAACAAATACAGCTTTGTACATTTTCTAAAGATGTCCTACTTCTTTGAGGGCCATGAAATAAAGGCAACATATTGAAGACATTGTGTAAATCACTTCTGCATCAGTAATCTTTTGTGGCACAACATTTTAAAATATTTGCATAACAAAGACATTTTTAAACAATCTCCACAGAACGCTTTGGCTCCAGAACACTGTCCTGTTTTGCTGATTGAACATCCTAGCTTGAAATACGCAACAACTCGATCTGTAGCAAAACATCCTGTTGGTAAATATGAAAAATAAAGACTATTTTAACCAACCATGAAGTATTTTAAAATATGCCGGCTTCCAGATGTGTTAATTTCACTACACAGAGTGTTCTGATCACCAGTAGGTGTTTGTTTGACAATATATTTACTGAGTCAAATGTCTCTGATTATCTCTTCTCTTGAAGAGTTCTGATTTATACTTGGCTTACAAAATACAGAAGCCAGATGGAAATGCTTAAACTCAGTTAACTCACTGTTTGCTGAAAATACTCATGATATATGAGGATAAGGAAGAAGCTTCAGAAGATAAATGTTTACGTCCTCTAAATAAGCCTTGGCTGAAACTCTGTCAGTTGAGAAGGGGAAAAGAGAAGATATGATAAAGGAAGGGGGAGATGATGTTCTGCATGGAAATGGTTAACTTTTTCATTTATGGAATCATAACCATAGAAAGAAAATCATTAGCTTGCTTTTCATGTTAAACAACGAGTTCTCTAAAATGCAGCATGGAAAGCTAGGATTAGGAAAAGGATAAGAGAAACAAATATATGTAGTGACCCTTTCTCTGACCCTAGTACGACACTCCAAAATGTACATATGGTTCTTTAAACTGATCCTGTCTGTGAGCCAAATTTTCTGCTTGCCTGAAAAATCTTGTAACTGTATTTTACAGTTCCTCTTAAATATAAGCCATAGACCCAATCAGACATCTGTTTATGCTGTGTAATCTAAGCATGTGATGTATTATGGCTATATTAATAATCTCCTTCATCTGCAAACAGGTGTGGAGGTGGGTCCCCAGCCACAAGGTGTTGTTAGAGCTGATATTTTGGACAAAATGAGGAAGATTGTAAAACATGGCCTTGATTTTGTGCAACTTTTTAATGAAGGTAGAGTAAGTAACAAGAAAATACAGCCTCTGTATTGTATCAGTGCACTATTGCAAATTTGAAAAATAGGGTAGGCTACAATATTTTAAACAGGGAAAAGGGGGAAAGGACTGTACTCAAGGTCATCTGTGTGGCCTCAGAAAGTCAGAATTCCTGTATAGCTCCTCTGGGTAGCTTTAAGGCTATTTCCTTTTTCTAAAGATTCAGTAAGTTTACTTGATCTTAATCTTACAGATGATTTGAGAATCTGAAATACCAGCTAGTTGTACAGTATGGTCATGGAGAACATAGAGAAATTAATACTAAGAAAGAGGGGTTTAATTTACACACCTTCTGTGCAATGTTATCTAAAATTAAAGTCAATAAATTCTGTAAGATTCTGTTCTATCTGTGTACCACCTAAAAATACTGACAAAAATAGGTGTTTAAAATTCTTTTAGAGTCCATTTTGTCAGTGGGCTTTTTTTGGAAGTAGAAGGAAATGAATCTAATTGTGTGTGTTAGAATCTCCATTATTGCGATGGAATGGTAAAGATAAATACCACTGATACCATCCTGTGTTGTACAGCCCTACCAAACACAGGACTTTCATTGATTCATCTAGAAATATATCTTTTTAAAGATAAAGTGACAAGTCACATTTCAGTAGCAAATTTAGACCTGGCTTCATATGCTACAATACATGACTGGACCATCTTTCTGCAACTTGACTTTGAGGGGACAAAAAGTCTGGAGCTGGACATTTTTATGATAAGAGCTAATTGCTGGTGTAAACTCTGACAAGATACAACCTAATGATTTGAGCCATTCTAAAGAGAATAATATTTTGTTCTTTTTAACAGGCAGTTATTCATTTTTGACATTAAATTACATTTATTCTTTCTAGGAAAGGAATTTCCACCATGTACAATCGAGGTTTTTAAAATAACGGAGAAAGTAGATTATCCCAGGAATAAGAATGATGAAGTTATTGCTATTATTCACCCTAAACTTCAGGTAAATTCTAAAATAGTTTCTGTTTGTGATGTTTTATAAATATTCCTGTGTTGCGTCTGCTACACTGTAGTATATTTTAATAGTAAATATTTAAAGTGACAATATTGACAATGGATTTATTGAAAAAACTTTAGACATTCCCTATAGTAAGTTCTATCACTAAGGTCATACCCTGGGAATCACTGAGACTAAAGTCACTTTTGAATCTAAAACTGAAAAGAAAAAGGCAGTAGGATAGCTTAAATTCTGAAATATAAATTAATTTTTAATTCTCAAATGAGAGTCTGTTTGATACCAACTGTGAGCATCTGCAGTTTCCTTTTAATTCACCTTTACCACTGAATTCTATACAAACCTGAAAAAGGGACAGACACCTGAAATTACATATTGAAGATTAAGAGGAATTCTTTTAAATGCTTTTGCCATAAACTGCAGAGAATACAATTAATGAGCATAAACTCAGAAATCACATGAAATACATGAAAATTTGAAGATAAATATATCCTATTTATTTTCTTTCTCTAAGGATCAAGACTGGCAGCCACTGAACAATGGTGATCCTCTATTTTTGACTCTTGATGGAGAAGTAATTGCATATAAAGAGAACTGTACAGTCTATCCAACATTTATTAATGAAGCTGCTTATTACGAAAAGAAACAAGCTTTTGTAAAAACAGTAAAAATTAAACTCACTGCAAAACACATCAGATCCCCAGCCTTAGACCACAGCACTTCTTAAAAGCTCATCATGGATCTTCCCTGCAAAAAGTGGATTTCCTCTCTGAAATCCAGTGTTGATTAGTAGTCACTGGTGGAATAACAAATGCAGAATCTAATTTTTAATCATAATTTAATTAACATTGCTGAGCACTTCAAAGATGAAACATACTGTCATAATGCTAATTATGACTACTGGTCACTTGTTCTAATAGATCACTATAGATGCAAAGAATAAATATTTTTATGATGTTTATTAGTTCACACACTACCACATACTGGTTAGTGACTATAAAAGTCGCATCCAGTGTCATATAGAAAGATGCTGATCCACAGAACTGTGTTATATAAAAAATATTTACATTTCTGCATTATTACCTGAAGCCTCCAATAACCCAAGTTTTTAAAATGGGGTGATCCTTGAAATGAATTCCTTAGGTAAACATACAAAATATGAGACAAAGGAAAAGCCAGGGAGAGAGAAATGGAGTGAGGGGATGTATATCAAAATTCTTTTCTATTATCTGCATGTGGGACTAACACCTGCCGTACTGAAGTTGAAGCCTTAGGGTTTGTTTTTTCTTTTTATACTTACAAAGATAAAAATAAGCTAAAAACATATGATTTCTGAAAAGCATATATTTAGATGACATTTAAAGCCTTTTAATTTTTAAGTGTTATAAGATTAATTCAAGCTGTTTCTGATTTAACATTAAAGACAAAAAGGTTTTAATTTAGGAGGCATCTACCAGCTACAAACATTCTGGAACAATATTTAAATTCAGGAAAAAGATGTGCTTATCCTATGAAGCTTTCCAAGAAAATTTCTACTGCAATGGAGAAAAGATGTTTTACAGATTTGTAACTTTACAGCTGAATCTACCTACTGCTGATAATGTTTGCCAAATCAGATTTTAACCAACTGTTGTAACCCCAAAGTTTTCAGTGAAGGTGGCAAGGTTAGGTGATTACACAGGTTTTAATGAAGAGCAATGCACACATCATACTTGAGTATTTCAGAATGGAAATTGGGAAGAATTCCATATGGGGAGACTTCTCAGAGTTTTGAGACTGATTTGGTCTAGAGTTGTAGAGAGAAAGCCTGTCACAGTAGCTGAAAAAGAGAGGAAAATGGGGATTTAATTACTTTCCTAAAGTTGTTTTTAAAATAACTGAGGCTAGAGAAAACATCAGGAACTTTGCATAATGATACAGTAATTGCCTATATACTGAAAGATTCATTGTCTAGATGACCCCCAAATTGTATCTTCCTTACTACTAAATTTAAAGCATTTTTTCCTTGCTTTCTGTATGTCCTATGGCAATGAAACAGAAACACGGGACAATGGTTTTTGAATTACAAGTTTAATTTAAATAAACATTGTATAAAAAGTACAGAATTATCTGCTTTAGTCATTATTCACAGGGTTTTTGATAACAGCCTGGAGATAGACTGTGTGTATGACATGGCAGGGCTCTGTGGCCAGAAAAAGGGGTTTTCCTCAGCAGAGGACTTTTAGAAATACCCCCCCCTTCTTCCTCAGTTTTGTAATAACTTTTTGTACCTGGTCATTGGCACAGCACAGTGACTTCTTTTGTGTCTTCCCTGTTTTATGGCTACACCTTTGGTGTGAATTCAGCACAGTGCAGAGATACATCAACTTGATTCCAGTGACAATTCCAACCATAGCAACGGGGAGCACAGCACAGGCTAATTTATTCTGGTTCCTGAGTATATGTGAAGAGGTATTTTTTTTGGTACAAAAACTGGCACTCAAAAGAATTCAAATGGAGCTGCACAGTCATAAGGGAATTGATACTCTTTGTTGGCAGTTCCAATGCAACATTAACCAGCAAAAATGAAAGATTCCAAGACCGCAGGAATTTTTCTTCTCATATTCACATACCCTACTGAGAAGGCCAGACAATGCTCAGATATTATATTGGTCTATTGATATCCTTCCTCTCAAATTCCTATGCCCTGTAAAAATGTAATTGAATTGAAGATTTCAATCTGGTCTCATCCATCCAGGCCATACGTGGTAGGAAACACAGGATGTGGCATCTTTAGATGACCAGTTCTGTAGCAAGAACCACGTTCACCATCCCTGCAAAGAGCTTTGCACTATCCTTTCCACTGGAGAGTTCCCTCATGCTCTCTTCTGTGTTAAGAAAGTCTTTTGGGTCATTTTGCGCACAGGCTTAGCTGTAAGAATCCAATGCAATTCTTATTATCATCCAAATGTCAACAGAATTCACCTGAGTCTTACCTAAACAGCACCTTTAAAACAGGCACCAAAAGAGTAGATATTATGAAAGCCCATGACACTGAAGACACAATGTATTAATTGAAATTTAAAAGTACATTGAACAAATTCTTTATATATACATACATAAATTAGAAAAGTAAAAACTAAACTAGGTCATGACAGGTAATGAAATAAAAACTCTTACAGAAATGCATTAGAGTCCTCTGGATAAAAAAATAACCAAACCCCAAAACTTCAGAAGTCTGCAATTGCATTTAACTTATTTTGCTCATTTTGGGAAGAAATACTGACTTCTGTATTGAGCCACTTCAGGAAAATAAGAAATTAATTTGCTTTTAAGCAAGAAGAACTTCCAATATGATAACTTATTTTATGCATTAAGATGCAACACCATGGAAAAGCCAAATAGGAAAAGTAAAGAGCTTGTGACTGAACAAACTCAGAAATGTTCACCATCATGAATTCCATTTCTGCCCCACTATTTTATGGGAAGGCATATGTACATGGTCATAAAAAGCAGTGAACACCATGTTATACCCTAGGAATTATACACAGGAAAACAGACCAGGCAAAGCTAATGAGACCTGAAGAGGCCTTTCTCCAGCTTGTGGAATCAAGCCTCCAATAACACTGACAGTCAATACAAAAGCTTCAAATGTCTCCAGAACATCATTATTCCAGAATAACATACTTCATTTAGTAGAGTTCAGAATTGAAATGCCTTTCTTTGCTCCACAACAAGAACTTAGATTTTTTTCTTTTAGTGTACAAGATGTTTCTCATGAGCTAGAGATTCCAAAATATAGCAGATCGGGATCATGATGATCTTAATTTTCCACAAAAGGAAGAAATATCTCACATTTGACCTTTTTTATCCAAGTAAACATTTTGAGCCAAGTTTGAGTAGTGTCACGCAAACTTGGACAGCAGTGTTTCCAAGAGGCTCAAAAATGAACCAGTGAAATACTATATTTGAGTTTAGTTTAGCTGCCCTGATTAAATGCATTAGGGTCATCAGACCATGTCTCTAAAAGTCTGTGTTCCAGCTGGTTACAGCTGTCCAAAATATCAACAAAGCTTTCAGCATCCACTACTGATGCTTTTAACCTTCCAAATGACCACATATCAAACACAGCACAACTAAACAGACGTTTCAGGCAAATCATCCATTTCTTCAAATGTATTCAGGGTGGTTTTGCTATTAGTTCTTGAATTATCTTGACTTTTGCTTGGATCTGCAAAAAAATGCATTGTAAACAAACCAGGATATGGTAGAAACTGTATCTGCAAGATCAAAGTTTTGCACATCTATTTTTTTTTGTTAAAAAACATGCATTTATTTAAAAGTAAGTCATCAGTTTACTACCATATCTTCTACAGAAGGCTTTCTGTCTGCCCTTTTCATTACTACTGAGCTCATGCTACTAAGCAATATAAATGCTAATTGACTCAAGAGCCTTCAGAACTAGTCTCCCAGATCCTGATGCCTGCTGCCAGAAGGACATCTGACACCTTGAAGTTAGGTCATTTCTCTATTACACTTCCAACACTGTCAGCAGATGGGTATCTTGAATTTCCTGGTCAACACTCACTATTTGTCATTCAATATGTATGACAAAACATAAACATGAATGCTCTAGGGTTAAACCAGCAGACTATAGGATTGTTAAGTAGAAATCCTGCCAAATTTTTCAGTGCTATGTGTAACTATTTAAAGGAATAAATATACTTTATGACAACCTTTTCAAAATAATATTTCCTCTCTCTTAAAAAAAGTTGTCTGAGCTTATCCCATTCAAATGTCATAACAGAATGTAAAATTTAGATCAAGCACAACTGTTTGGAGAAAAAGAAAGAAAGAGTGAAACCACCATGTTTTGGCACCAACATGTAAATAAGGAGTTTGTAAATAACCCTTTCTTCAAATATTTACCAATAATTTAACACTCATGCCACGTTAGCTGTGAGTTTTCCTAGCAATAAAGTGTGTTTGAATATCTAGATTCTGAGAGCTTCTATTTTAAAAGGTATAAAACTATACCAAAGCACTTCTAAGGAAAAGAAAACGAAAACCAAGAAACAAAAAAAACAACCAAAAACCAACCACACAATTTCACAAATACGGTGTTATAAAATTCTGCAATACCTGTTGGGCCTGGATCTTCATTAATAAATGAAACATGTGTTTTCCACTCGGTCCATTTCACTTCATTTATCCTGTTTATATTGTATATAAGTTGTGTTATTAGCATGCATTATCATCCAGCTACAGAGATGCACTTCCCCTCTATTTCTTTATTCCTTCTTGGGATTGTTGTTCTTGACCATCAACACTGGCTTTGCTAGTACTAAAAGGCTGAATGACTTTTGCAGTGCTATGTACTATATAAAGATGAGAATACTACTATGACTGCTTTGTAATTTCACACATTATAAGCACAGTCTGGAAACTCACCTTAAATATTTAATATTTTTCATAAACCAGCATAGTAATACATTCTTTAATATGGTAATCATCAGTTAGCAATCAATTTAAATATAGTCACTTTGAAGTGAACATTCAAAGGAGATGACAGCGACATTTACTGCAAGCAGACTTGATACTTGTACATTAAAAAGATAGGAGGTTGAAAATCTGTTTTCTTAACCAAAAATTGTCTACATAAAAAACCCCCACAACCCAGAACACATTCCCTTTGTTAAAACATCAGTCACAAATGAAAAAAGGAACAACAAATTGGATTTTTTGTACGCTTGGGGTAATAGGTAGAGATGTAGAAGTATTTTAAAGAGGATTTTGAGAAGAAATAACCTTGAAGAAACATACAAAGCAGAACTGATAGCACAGTATTCTAGCTTTGCTTTACCTTAAACACACCCTGGTGTCATTTTCAGCCACTTTACACCGTTCTCCCAGTTGAAATTTTTTCCTCAAACGTTTTGGTAAGAATTTTTCAAATTCCAAAATAGTTCTGGCTCTCTATTAACAATAAATATTAATGAGTATGGTTAACCATATTCAGAATTGACTGACTTCATAGCATAGATAGTTTTCAGACTCCATGTTTCATTATACCATTTCATTCCACCATCCAATACCGATTCCAACACCAAACAGTATGGAATGCCACTTGCTGTTTGCAACGTGCAAACAGGCAGTCCATAGTTAGGTCTACTGCAGAAGGCATACTCAGAGAAGAATCAAGAAATCTCACCCTAAGCTTGATGTTTAGGGTTTAATGCCAACACACCCTAATGCAACACCCTGCCACAGGAATATATACAACCTGTAGTGGATGCCACCCACCACAAAGCAACTCCAGTCCTCATTATGACTGTTATTGATGACAGCCTGGGACTCAGAGATGTCTAACCTTGATAAGAGACCAGGCTGGGATAAGATATGAGGAATTGGAATGAAATCATGCATTGCTCAGACTCAAGGGCCGCAAGAGCAGAGCATGCTGAGTTACAGATCTCTGGGCAGATAATGGAACACACCTTCCTAGTGATGTATCAAGGGGAATGAAAGTCATAAAGGTATGTGAGTGCATGAGGTTGAAAATCTGAGCCATAAGATTAACTTCAGAATTAACAACTGTCTTGAAGATATTATGATACCCTGATTATTTCCATTATTTGTACACATATGCAGATGGGATTATCAGTGTTAATACTTCACCCATTCTGAGTTACGATAGGTATAGCTCAAAAGATTTTAGCCCATAAATCCATACTTTCCTAAGCAAACTAATTCACAAACCTGAAGTTTCCAGATGTGCTCACTCTCTTTAGAAATATCTTCCACTGTTTCTCCCATTAATGCAATCAGCATGTTCAAAAGAAGAACAAAAGTCAACACAACATAAGTTATAAGGAGCAGAAGAAATAGTACAGGATACTTTGAATTTTGCTGGATCTCCAGATCACCCAGTCCTAGGGTGAGCTTAAAAAGATCCATCAGAACAGGTCCCAGACTGCTGTTGGAATGGCATTCATTGCCATCTTGGCAAGTTTCAATCAATGCAGCAAGAGCTGAGAAGAAAGCAGGAAAAGATTTTAATCACAATAATGTTTTATGTATACATGGCATTTTATCCTAAAGAATTCAAAATGCGCTGCATAATAAAAAGCTGGAGCTGCCCAGCAACATACACAGCAGCAGCTAGAAGATGGATTACCAGGAAGCAGAAAGAGCCCACATCCAAATGAAATTGCAGGCAAATGAGAAAGAGCCAAATTACTTATCTGTTCATATAGTTTCTAGATAGTTTAATTCTCTAAAGTTGGCTTTTTAATATCCAGAAGAAACCCCAACATGAGCTCTCATCATGACAATAGGGTTCTTATTCATAATAATGCTAAAATTTTTACTCACACAGAGCATCAGTGCTTTTCTCCAGTAATATTTACCTACTCCAAATCCCAGCAAAAAAACGATATAGACAACTAAAAATTTGATCACATCATGCAGGATGACCTAAAAAATAAATTAAATATTGATTAGAAATGAAAACTGAGTACTAGTTTTACGCTTATTAATTCTGCAGGGATACAGGTGTCCTACACAATAAGGCATCAGATTGCTTTCAACTAAGCAAAGCAGTTGTAGCCACAGTGAGAAACCCAGAAAAGATTTAGGTCTGATTCTTTTCATCTCATGACTGAGCCAGGTGTGTTGTCCATGGGTGACTAACTCTGTACAATTGGCATTACAGCATATGATGCTATTAAATAGAACTACATTAGCTGGAAAAAACCCACAAATTACATATGTAATTAATTAATTAATTAATTAATTTTAAGATATAAACTAGTTTCTGCCATTGAAGTTATAGAGGATATTCTGCTGAAATAATGTGTATAAACTGAAAATAAGACTTTTCAATCTGAACTAAAAAAATACATCTAAATTGCCAAATAGGCTGCATTGGGATTGCATCATACCAAGTAAGGATCGTAACAAGATAGGTAGAAGAAAACAAACTTGCCTTTTGAATCATAACACTGTAAATACCCATGGACTGGAAACCTCTGGTGAAATAAAGCATATTAGCCCATCCCAAGGCCATTGCCAAAACAAGACACACGAGGTGTTCTTTGTAGGAAAACAAGTACAAAAAGACAGAGAAGATCACAAGCAAAGCTTGTATAAAACTGTTAAAAAACAAACACATGTATTTAAAAGGGAAATTACTAGCACAAAACCAACAACATAATGGAAAAACATGAAAACAAGACTTTTCTCCTTATGCTTAATTTCTAATTTCATCCTGCATTCTATTCTCCCCTATCAACATTACCATTATATTTTAACAACACAGTAAGGTGAGTACAGGTAGTATATTAACAGGATTACATTATTAAAGATTACTTTTAAGTGAACTATTCTCCCAAAAATAGCTGGTCAGTGCAGATTTTGCTGACAAGGACATTAAGAATTCTTAATAGTATTTTTGAAGCCATTTAATTCAAGCTTTAGATTAACAAATTGTTAGAATCATTACAGATTTTCTGTGAACAAGGAAGACACTTGTAGGTGTGACGTGCTGTGACAGGATGTAGCCCAGACTCTCAGCAGCACAAGATTGGTATTAGCGTAGTTGGAGGAAGAGGAAGAAAGGTAGAGTTAAGCCACGTCTTTTTATTGATCTTACAATCACATGCTAGAAATGAGACGGAATCATCTGTGCTTTATCTAGGCCCAGCTGATGGGATACTCCCATCAGTCAGATGAACCAGATTTATGCTATTTTCCCTTTCTGAAGGAGTCAAAAGGAGTGTGAAATGATATCTGGTTTATTAACCAGGTTTCTTAAACACATTTCTGTATATACAGCTGTAAACAGATACAGGAGAAGCTAAAAGTACTATTCTTTGGGAAAAAATCCAGTCCGTACACATCAGCCCCCAGTACTGTTACTGAGACATGCAACTGTTAGTGTGCACTTCAGAAAAGCTGCTGGTAAGATTGCATATATCTCTCTAAAAACTTATAATCTAGAGAAAAAGTGAGCATCTGCTACTTTCTCTGCAACCAAGAGATAGATAAGCATTTTATAGATAGTATAAAATACGTGCATGACAGACTTACAACGCAAAGTGGAACCACGCATCAGAGAGAATTGACTGTAGGTCTGAAGGCCTAAGCAGAAAGATGGCTACACTCTATATAGACAGATATATAAAATACAGAAGCAGCAGTAAGAGAAAGCAGGCCTCAAAATTGAGTTTTCAAAATAATTTAAGTTAGTGTTCTAAAAAAATTAGTCTACTGATAAAGACATTAAATCTTCCCAAATTAAAAATCTTTTATGGGTCTGTATCTTCAAAGTTTACATTTCTGTCATCTCTGGCATAATTTAGCTGGTAGTTACTGGGTTTAATTACTTACAGTATATGTCAAAAATTGTATTCTGTTTTTTTTTTTCCCCCATTACAAGTTCTAATTCACCAGTGTCCTTAAAGCCAGTAATTTGACAACATCAATGCTATACAAATATCAGATCTCTGTTTTGAGAGTTTGAAAGGAAACCCCCCTCATATTTGTTTCACAGAGCAACAGAGCTATTCAAATATATAACCAAGGTCATTCTGTGCAAGCAATGTGTTGTGTCAGAGACTTAAATTACATACAAGGATATTCCAAGCGTATCGCCAGTATCATCAGCAGCATAGAATATTCATAAACCTAGGGAAGTCCTTTACCTATTTTGCTATGAGTCTTACCTCTTTTATGGCTAAAAATATTGCTCCTAACATAACCATCACCTGTCCCGATAACTGCAGCCACCCCACACCACGTGTTAAAGCTAGTGGATAAGGTGGAGCCTGCAAGAGAAATCCAAAATGAATGACTGAGTTCTGAACCTGAAACATAAAAGGCAAAGTAACAGGAAGCCTCATATATGTAGCTCTCTGGATACACAATTATCTTCCCTTTCAGTGAGAATTTTCTCCATAGTGGATTTACAGAATCAGCCCCCTAACATGTGTTAGCTGAAATAGCAGAAGTTTCTTTCTTAAAAGAAAAAGAAAATACCATTTCCACCCTTTTAGAAACTTAGCTACCTGTCTTTGTATTATGTATTTGTATTTCAGGTCACTTTCACAACATGAAAATGCGATTATCTCCTCTGTTCTGATCTTCTTCCTCCCTGGTATGACAGAACCTGATCTCACTACAGCCAGATATTTGGATATCTGCTTTTAGTTTATTTAGCATTTTAAATATAATTCAGGAAATACCACTGTATTTTAAAATCAGTAAAATTTGGTGAGATTAAGTAGCTGTCAATACAAGCTACTCACTTCATTTTCATTAGGCCTGTGGTAGGAAACCAACGTTAAAGTTACGTTGTATAGGAAATAAAACCAGCATGACATAAAGAACATGTGCCGTGCAAACTTCTTCCATTTCATTCGCAGGAGTGAATTCAGAGGCTCCAAAGTCAGCATTTCATGACGGTTCTGTAGGGGAAAAAAAACAACCAACCAGTTAAGATTTAAACTTGATGTCTGTAAGGAAACTGAGATCATTTCAGTCATGTATTTTGTGTATTTCAATCCGTATCTGTCCTTGCAGATCTAGAAACACATCTATGTGCAAAGGTATATGTCAGACTCTATCCTGACAAGACACAGTGGGACAACTTCAACTCATGCTGGGATAACCTGCCCCACTCTGGAAAATGATTGACTTAAAACTGTAATGTGAACTTCTGGTCTTGCTTCTTATGGAAACTTTGGGCAGTATTTGAACTTAGCAATTGTAAGATTCTGGCTTTGAAAACCTAACATTCCTATATGCCTAAAATACATACCTGCTGGGTAAAGTTTATAACTGACCAGCTGGACCATATTTATGTTCCTATGCAAGGCAAATTATTACTTCAAATGTAGAAACTCCCCAAACACCTAGCCCATGTGTTTCAGGATCTGAAGGCATATCTGCTTACAGCTGACAATCTACGTCTTTCTCCCAATATAAACACAGAGAAACAATAATTACTGTTTAAGTAATTCAGTCAAATGTACAGGCTAAGACATCTGAAATGAGTACACTGTTAGAAAATAGAAAGACAGTTTAGAAATAGGTAACTTACACCAATATTTGTATTATAGACTATAATTTCCAATACTGAATTGTCTGCAGTGGTATCTAGTTCTGTCAGATCATAAAGAGAAGATTGAACAGGACCATAAGCCCAGTCTGTGAATTTTCTTGACAGGCTCCTGTTAGGCTTATCTCTTATCTCTCTGCTCAGGATGTATTTCAGAATCTGAAACATTAACGGAATCATTTGTAAACAGATGTGTTCTTCACAGGAAAGGAGAAAGCACACACACATACTGCCAAAACTCCCACCTTTCAACAAGCACATTTTCTAGAGCAGCGCAATTCAATGTATTTCTAATTCTGTTATTCAGCAAGTGGTGTTACAGATAACAGACCTCTAGGAAATTAATACAGTATTTTTAATGCCTCCAGATTTTCTGTCAGAAAATCGTTTTCACATTTTCCTATAGGGTGAAAGCACAATTTTCCATGTGTTCACATTTATATCTTCCTTTAACTTAATTACTTTCTAAATCATCCCATTGTCAATTCATTACCACAATACAGTTGATCTACAAGAGCCTAATTCTACAGCAGCCTAACAGCAGTTCTAGTGAGTTTTCTGAAATTACTCAAAATTATTCAAAGACTATATAAGTGTAGTGCTGTAAAATAAGTCCAGAATTTGAGTTTCTGGACAACAGGAGGATTTTAAAGACTCTTTATACAGCACATGCATTTTGTACTTAGAGGGGTTGTTAGAGGGAAACCTCGAATGGTAGAAGCAACATTGCAGTAGAAGGATTTGCTTGTATTTTGAACAAAATTAGCTCTCCAAATATTACAGATACATCATACAGAATAACCAGCATGGAAAACTACATGTAAGAGCACTAGTGTCTGAGTATAGTAGGCCTTGACTCTTTTCTCATACTTTATTTCTCTTAGATGCAACTGAAATACTACCCACCTCTAATTTCCCAGTTTTTGCAGCTAGTTGTAGTGGTGTCAAACCCTCCTTATTCCTTGTAGTTTCCAGATTTCTGGCTTTACTTTTCAACAAAATCATATCATACATTCTGATTACAAAGTCATTCTGGGTTTTAAAGTCCTCTGCCACAGTAACTAATGCATGGAGGATATTGTTTCCTCTGGAATCCTGAGAAGTAATATTAGTCCTCGTATTGTCCATTAGCAGTTGAATTATGTCTGGTTGATTGGTACATGCAGCTAATGCCAATGCAGTTTCACCTACAAAATTATAAAATGCAAGATGTGTTCATATTTTATTTCAGGCATTCAAATCATATTATAAAAGAGTGACAGTGTTAAGCATCTTAATATATGCAAGTACATTTACATATTGATTGTATTGAATTTAGCTCATGTTTTAGAAAAGCTTAAATTGCATGGAACATTATTTGGATATAATCTTCAGAATCAAAGGTGTTACATTTTATTTGCCATTCAGCAGTTGCAATTTTTTGGTAAGTGCTTTACAAATATTTCTAAGTGTTTATAATACACCACACTCTGGCAAGTTTACAAAAGGCGCTATGTCATTTTTATACCTTGGGATGCAAGTTCTAGATTTAGCTACAGTAATGATTCACACTTGCCTGTGTTCCACACTGTCTTAATTGTCTGGGTATTCTTTCCTAACTTTTCCAGAGGTATCTCTTTTCCACTTACCAAAATAAAAGCCTTCATGTTTATGTTTGGGATTAAAGAAAATACCCTGGGCATGAGCATTGACATCAGCTCCTTTTTCTATTAGGCTCTGAGTTATTTCATATTGTCTTCTTTCAATAGCAATATTTAGGGCTGTCTGGCCTGAAACAACAAACACGGGTATTTAGCATTGAATCTCTTAAGCACATTATCAAACATTAATGATGTTTCACAATGGGTATCACCAGTGATAATGAATAAAAGTTGTTTTAGGAGTTTAAACCATCATTAGAATGCTTGAAGAAAACATTACTTTATGGATGGTATATTTAACCATAGACCTGAAACTGGTACCAGATGGCAATACCTTTATATGCCTCTTCTGTGTATGCTGCATTGATAAATCTCTCCAAAATACCATTTTCTTCTGCAAAGGATAGTAGCATATTCACTATCTCATTTGTGTTTTGGTTGATGTTCAGCAGAGCTTTCATCAGACAAGTTTTGCCAGTATCTGAAGCTGTGAATTTTTTCATCAGATAATCTACAAGAGTGAATTTTGAGATTATTTAAAGTGGATGGAAAATAATTCTAATCTTACGTTTATTAGGGGTGAGACCTGAGAGATGTATGAACATAAATTATTTGACAAACAATTACTCCATCCTATTCATTTTGTATTCAAACTATGTATACTTGGTGAGATGATGCAGTATAAGATGTGATACTAATTAATAAGGTAGCCAATGCACTTGGATTTTCTTTCAGACATCCCACTGCTATGCTAACTCCAGACAAACCCAGAACTCTTTAAGTTCTTTGCCCATTCAGCCATGCTGACACATTGCAAGCCCTGTCTATACTGCAGTTTGGATAGAGACACCAGCTTTGAGTCTCATGCTGCAAAAGACTAGCTGTGGTATGGCTGTGGGCATACAGTGCAGATAGATCATCCACCTATCATAAGGAGGAGATAAATACTTCCCAGTGTTGCCTCAGAGGCAGCAAATGGGTGTCTGATTGAATATCTTAAGCTTTCATTTTGAAATAGGAAATGTGACGTATGTATGTTTCAGACTCCACACATTCCAGAAAAGCTAACAACCTTCTCGAGATAACTCCACAGCTCACCTGGCACAGTCATGTTCATACAGGCATTTGATCGCTCCTTCAGCTCGGTGAGCAGACACTGCAATTCTTCGATATTGCCCTCAGATACAGCCCGAAATATGTACTTTTTCAACTTCTTCCGGGCACTGGTCTGCTCAGGTCCTTGTGATATGTTAGCACTGAATCATAAGAAATAATAATCGAATTGATAATTCAATTTACTGTGCTATATTCTCATTTCTACATAAGAAGTAAAAAGAAATACAATTACTTGCCCCAGACTACATATACTTGCCCTGCTTCCATATATAGATCTTGGCATGGATCTCTCAGGATGTTTCTGCAGATTGCTTATTTGCAGGTAAGTGGCTATTAAGAGGAGGTTTATAATAAAGATATACATTTATCAAGTACTTTGTTTTGCATCTTTTCCCAGTTTATCCATGCTTCTAACACAAAGGCTAAGAAATACTCTGCTTCTCTGATCCATCCACTCCACTGACCCACTGGCTGATGCTGCACTCCAGCTACACCCATCCCACTCACAGCAGAAGATAGTTTTTAACTTCACATCTTCTTAAACAACTTTTTAAACAACATTATTCTGGAATAAGAGTGATTTAGTATTTTTCCCCCAGTCAGAAATACTCCCAGCTCATGCTTAACTCTATTTGGTGCTTAGGTCCTTTGTTGTCATCTGGAAAACAGACATTATGTATGAAGAATCCTCATACTATATATGAGATTTGAGAAAAGCTGAAGTTAGAGTTCTTCATTTCAAAATTTAATTATTCAAGAATCAGAAATGTATGCACACATATGACCTTACTTATAAAGCATGACAGGAAAAATAGGTAATATCTGCTTTATCATAGGTTTAATCCTCTGAAAATGTACTAAGAAATACTTATGTCTCTACTCACCAACAGCTGTCTACATTAGGGCTATATTCAGTCGCATCATCCTGAAGAGACTGTGGAGAATCCATATCTTCCCCATTTCCAGATGCACTATAGAAAACAGAAAAACAAGTGCCAAGATAGGAAGGTACCGGAAGACCTGTTTTTTTGGCAAATTGCATGAAGAATCAGTCAATACTAGAAAGCAGAATCTACAGTAAACCTGAAATCAGTCTAATTTGTGCTTCATAATTTCATCTCCCCTGTGAATATTAAAGTGAGTGGTAAGGATGAAGAGGCCCACAGGATTTTATTATATTATATGAAAGCAGCCTGGTTTGTGAGGGTTTTTGGTTTTTTTTTTGGTGTTCTTTTTTTTTAAATGATCGTTGCTTTTTATGCATCATCCTAAATGCTGGAAGCTTTCTTTCCTTTTCACATGCTTAATTTGTCACCTGCCACAAACCAAGTGCTAAATCAGTAACAGTGCATGGATTGCAAGCACACAATGAAAGTGATTTACCTAAAGATTTACTACGCAGTACACCGTAGGCAACTCAAGAGCATTTTGCAGCTGACATGAATGGAAGCTTCAGCTAAAAGAAATCAAGGACTGGGCCCTAAATACATATTCAGTTAATAAATTTAACAGATTTCAGTGGTATTTGTATTTTTGTAATTGCTGTACATAATTTCCAGACATCCCTAAAAGCAGATCTGACTTAAAAATTAATTTGTTTTCTTTATTTGTATTTTTGTATATTCTAGAAGGTTTAGATTTGATGAACTACCTCAGGTTAATAACTCAGGGAGCCTGAACTACTAGCTATTGATAACAGAGATGTAAGTATATTAACACAAGGACTCCGCATTTCTCTGCAGATACTCCCTTCCCTTTGAAATAAAGCTGGTAGCTCAGTCCATTCTTATTCAGTTTATCACTTCTCTGCAGAGAACCATGAAGAATCTGGTGACAAAGTGTATGTGTGCCTTGTGCAGGTCTGTGTGTCTGAATGAGAGGAAGAAATCTGGGTACCTCTCCTCTGAAATCAAAATAAGACTGTCAGCTAATCCCAAAAAGCTGACCAGACATCCATCAGACACACAAACATTTGGCCATTCTGGGCTTACGCTATATTTGATGCATATTCCCCTTATTCATAGCTATTGGTTGTTAGTACCCCACACATTTTAAAAAATTAAGTGCATTCTTCCCAGACATAATTTTTCTCCATTCACCATGAATGGCTGCCTTTAAATGTCTCAAACTCAGCATTTTCATGTTGTTTGATTGTCAATGAGCAATAGGGAGAGGATGTCAGCACGCAGCAGGGAATAGGGTTTGCTAAAATAAGGTGTGGTCTTCATGCAGTAGAAAATACATGAATGGGTGCATGGAGTTCAACCTTACATACCATAAATAAGGTTAAGATATAAAAAAGAAAAAAGACCAACAATTTTAAATTTATTCAAATTTGAGGACTGATTTATTCAGTGTAAACGACAGCAGCAGATAAAGATAAATCACCTAGTAACAAAGGACCTCCAATGGAGTTCTATCTTTGAAGTGACCAAAAGCTGAAAAAAGCCATGTGAAATTTTAGCTCTGAAGTCTAAGGAGAAATAAAGAATAGCTGCTGAAAAGAAAGTAGATATAACTGCAGTATGACTACTGCATATGCATCTATAACTTACCATGGACGAATATTTGAATCCATTGGTTTTGAAAACACAGGGGGAGATGTATTATTTGGTGTCGCATTGCTTTCAAAACCATCAATCTCCAGAAAAAAGTGTGAACTGTAGAACAGAGTGCATTTAAGAAAATATTAGTAAAGAAAGCAAGCTCAGTTTGTTATTTTCTGGCATTATACCTAACAAGACACTGGAACAGAAGCTTACCTATTTTCCATCAGAGGAATCCCAACCTCCCACGCTATGCCCAGCACTTTCATGCTGGCAGATGGGCAAAAGATTCCAAGATATTTTTAGAACACATGGCAACCTGGTCCTTACATGCCTAAGCAGTTACCCCAGCAGCCTTAGAACAGCCTTGCATCCAACTTCTGTGAAAACCAGGTATTTCTTGAACAGCCATACAGACACACACAGAGATGTTTTTTAACCTACTGCATTCTAGTTCCTGTTTCTCCAGCTGGGAGCCATCAGGATGGAGCATTTCAAACCCATCAGCAGTGATAATCATTAAGTCAGAAAGTTTGAAAGGTCATATGTTAAATGACATCAGGCATTTCCACCATCCAGGACTGAATGTGTAATCCTGCCACTCAGTGCATGACATTTAACTATTTATAGGAAAAATAAAGTAAATTTTAAACAACAGAGAAAAGGGAACACATGAAGAATAGGAAGATTTCACCCTTTAAAAGCCTAAAGAGTTGAGAGGCAAAATCAATGGCTTGGTATTACTAGATCTCATTAAAACATGGCTAAATTCACCAAAAACAGGAGTTCCAGTGGTGAATGCAGCAACTCCCACATGGCCTATGTTTCCAGTTCCCCTACTATTTATGGTTCAGTCCATAGGGGATTTCTTTTTGTTTTTACCTGCGTCTTTCCCAAAGAATCCCATTGAATTCAAGTACATATACTGATGCTAAAATGTAATATATTATTAGGACACTACTGCACAACCTGTTGAGGTCATACTATTTCAAGTAGATACAGTGGCCCTAGTTCATGACATTTTTCAACTATTTGGTGATCCAAGTGTTAATTCACTGTGTGTAGTTGTTTAAACTTAACGACTTTTTAACATTTGAGATGTGCCTGTGAATGTATTCTTAGCAGAAAGCAAGTAAAATGCCACTTTTGGTTAGCAAGACTGTGTCCCTGATATTACCTAGGCAAGGGGTGCTCTTCAGAGCACAGGAAAAACCTAGCCAGAAGCAGGACCATTGCCGTTCTTTGTGCCAAACCACTGTTGTTTCACTGGGCTTTGGATTTGGCAGAGACACTTAAGGAGGAGTGAAAAAAAAATGGTGTCATCCTGCTTTTTTTGCATTCCCTCACCATGAAGTGCAAGAGCTGTCCTAATAGCCAAACATCTGTTGGAGGCTGCAGTGAACCTCCATAAAGCCAGAATTGCCAAGCTCTAGGTTTTGCTGGAGCATTTCACCAGCCCTTGGCTCAGCACCAGGAGAGGATGGTGTGCCACAAGCTGATGTCTGAGAGCAGCTCCTGCTCTCCCAATAGTGTGTTTTGCTGAAGATTTTGGCATCCGAAAGATGTACAGCAGCTGTGATGTGGGCCCAGTTTTGGAGGCTGTCATTCCTACCCTATCGTGGCACATGGGTTATCTGGGGATACCATGGGGGAAAAAAAAACAACAAAGCCACCGTGCAAGGCAGGTAGACAATTGCTAACAAATACCAAAGTGCTTACGTGGCCGTGGTGCACACTCTTAGGAACACTGCCCACAGTCAGGCTCTGACAACATGGGTAACACTCCTCCCAGGCTGCCTGTTGGTTTTCCTGTACTTAATTTTATACTGTTAGTCCCCCCAAATACCTTCAAGAAGGGGAAGTTATTGTCTTCTGAGAAAGTGCACATTGGCAATACATTTTTTCAGGCGATAAATGCTGCCCATGGAAGTGCAGTAGCTGCTTAGTGGCACGGTAGAAGGAAGCGTTTTGAGGCAACAGAAGTACAGCAGCAGAGAAACATATAATTAGTAGAACACGTTAAACCTCTGCATTAAAATTCACGTGATCATCACTCCTTATATTATAGGAATGTTGTGGGCCACACCCTGAGCTCTTAGTTGAGAGATGGGAAAGGCCCCCAAGGTTACTGTTGCTGATGCCACAAAACTGAATCGAGATACAAGCTTCAGTAATTGAGGGGTAGAGTTTGCCAGTATTTGTTAGAAGTCCACAATCTGCCATGGAATGCCCCTGTATTGTGAGCTGCTCAGACACCTCACCTCCCTTTAATACAACCAAAGAGCTTCTCTATTTGAATTTAATGACAGAAAGACAAATTAGGCCACCCAGACAGGGGGTCTCATATAATTAATGACACCATTTCTTTGGAAAGTGATTCCTCTGGTTATTAAGAATTATAAATGTCAGAACAGCCACAATTGCCTAGGCCTTCCGTGTTTCAAAAAGTGCCCCAATAGCTAGTAATTAGCCACAGAGTGAAAAGCTTATGAATGAAAAATCATCCTCACTCTACAGTAACCTAGTTAACTCCAATTCCACAGTATCAGGAACGAATTATTGCTTATATTTCCCCATTCATATTAAATACAAACTCTTAATCCTTTTATTAATTCTCTAGCATAAATTATGAATAAAAGTGAACATTTTATAAAATAAAATGAAGAAATCTTGTTAATCAGAATAATGAAAAATTGAGTGAATTCAGGTTTTTCTCTGTGACAGGATTTTTCAAGCCTCCTGCTCTCCCAACTCTCATTTTTTAATTCAGCTGTACCGCTCCATAATCTGCCACATTTCCATGTGAGGCTAGGTTTGAAATGCTCCCTTTTTTCAGGCCAGCATCTTTTATATAAAACCTGCCATTTGATCACTCTCTCCTATTGAAACACTTACCATAATTAGACCAGATTCTTGTAAGCTTATACAGATATATAGAGTGGATGCCAAAAGCTCAGCTGATATGAGACATTAACTTGAAAGACAGGTGCATGAGCTTGATATCTCTAGGAGAGGGGTTAAATATTTGTCCCATTAGGGTAAAAAACATCCTATGTCTGCATCACCAGGATACTTTTCCACTTCTGAACAGCACAAGCATACACATTTTTCTAGGCACTTTGGGTTCATCAGGTGTCTCATTCATACATACAGCATGAATAAAGATGTTAGTGGTATTTCAGTGCAATATCTACTAAAGGAGATAAACCAGGGAGTTTTAATGGTTTAGACTGAGTTAGTCTTACCTTTTCTTTGTGGGAGTGCTTTCAGTTGGCTTTTTCTCCTGCTGGTTTGAAGGGGGAATACCAGATGGATTTGTTTTCTTGCCCATTAGTGGAATAATTTCGTTGTTATCTTTAATCATGTTTCTGCAGTAGAGAGATTCACAGTTACTCAAGTCCTGTTCATTTAAAGAAAGCACCAAAAGAAAAACTAAATTGCCTATTCACAGTCTCTTCACATGTAAGCACACAAATCTTGACTTCCACACCCCTCCCAACCCCCCTAAGTTTTTCATTTTTCAGTTATTAAGCACATACACACCATTTTGTATCAAGGCTGGAGGGTTATATTCATCACTTCATTAAACTACAAGAGAAGTGCCATTAAAAGCGATACCATAAATCCAGGAAAACCATAAACTCAGCCACATGCCTAAATTAAACTGAAGGGAGTCTGTCAATCACAATGACACTATATGTTATTTTGAGAAACAAAAAGAGCACAATGACTTTCATAAGCATCCCTAAAGCTGGTGTATATTTACAGTTAATCTAAGTAGTCTGCTCTTACCCAAGAAAACTTCAGAGAAGTGGTAAATTCTAGGAAGGTCAGTGCAACAGGTACAATGCATGGAGGAAGGTTCCAGACGTGAAGGGTAGTGAACACAGAAAAAGCCCTAAAGCTGTTCACCACGATAGAACAGTAGAAGCAACATACAGTTTCTGAATATGATGCCTAGGCTGAGCTACACAATCACATGAATAATATCAAGGACTTGTGTCCTGCTGACATATCTCTGCATTTCTTTAGGGAAAAAGGAAAAAAAAAATCATGACTACTGGATGGGAACACTCACCACCACATGACACAAAAGGATCTTAATGCATGTTATCTGCTTATAAACACCTACAACATGAATTCTTTAAGTAATAGTGAATAACTATCTATCTTCCTGTTTCTCAATATAATACTCAAGGGCATCATTTTAAATCACCAAGGATCATTTGAAAGTGAGATGGTGAATTCAGGATACTTTGAGATTGAATATAAGAATAGTAAGTTTTACAAGGTCACAGACCCATGCCCAAGGAAATCAGGACACTGCTCTCCATACCCAAGGATAAATGATAAAATTCACTTGCCTGCAAGTGTGAACAAAATGAACTACATATTTTACTTCTCCTACTTTCACTTTCCCTAATGTGACAAATGTACACACAAACTTTTCACTCCTGCGAGTCTCAATGTGCCTTGGCACTAGAATTCTTCATTATGGGAATATCAAGATAGAGAAAGCAGATTGTGAAGCATTTTTGAAAGACATGGTATCTGGTGTGAGAGACACGCATATCAAATACACCGATACTTGAGTGAAAATCTATTAATGCATCCACAGCAAATGTTTAAGTATGGAAAGTTTTTGATCCCAGGTACAGAAAACAGAATTCACAGGGCCCAAACACATGTAGGTGCAGGTCTAATTTCTTGTCCCTAAATGGAATCAAAATCTGAAATACTGGGAAGTACTCCTTACCTTGAAAAGGTTGGCTTAAACAGGCATGAAAAGGAAATTTTATTGTATTTTCTACCATTGGTAGGTACGTTCACATTAGTGTAACTCAGAAATTTGCCTGGTTTGGATGCATTTCCTATGAATCCATATCACAACTTTAACAGGAATAATTTATAAAAGGCAAATATGATTTACTTGGTACGCTTGCATCGAAAACATACTGTAGCTTTCCCTGCAGTAAATACACAAAAGAACTAACCTTGGATGTTATATATTTGAGGTAGGAAATAGTGGTTTATCTATGCCTTTGAAAATGCAATTCATGTAGTCTTCAGATGCATGCTGTATCAGTGAATACACTGATAAACATTTAATCTTAACACAGCTTAAACAAATGACTGTTGTCTTGCTTAGTTTATAAATAATTCTGATGTTCACTTCTTACCAAGTACTTTAAGAATACACAGCAGTTTATGAGCAAAGGCATTTCCCATCCAGAGGAAGAGACAAATGTCTCTTGACATCTACTTGATACAAATCAAATATAAGTGGACTAGAATAAGATGGAGCTGGGCATTAAGTAGCTTCATAAGTTACTTTAAAGGAAGAGAATAGTAAAAAACAGATTAATAGGTCAAAAAATGTGTTAGCAAAAGCAGTTGCCAAGTTGAGAAGAGCACAGCACGTAGGTGTGCGAAGTTGGATGGGTCAAAGAGTGGTAGGAAGAGCTGGCAAAATTAAGACCAAAGTTAAAATCTCTGAAGCGCACAATGGGAAAAGCCTCTTGTTTGTGAGAGATGTTGAGGTTGCTCAAATATAGCAGCACACTTCTGTGTGGGCCACCTGCAGCCAGTTGTCACCACAGAGATTTTAGCAGTGGCTTCAGAGCAGGCTACATCATTTAGGAGAGGTGAAAATAGTCAAAGAGTATTGAAGTTGTATTGGATGATGAAGGACTACTAAATTACCATTGATAGAAGGAAACAATTTGGGAAGGAAAAAGAGAGAAGATTCACTTCTGTTTATATGGACTGCAGCTTTCAAATGCACATGGAGTTGACTGTGTGATCTCAGCTACAAAGACTATTTTAAATGAGATCTTGGAGGCTGCACAAGTAAATAACTGCAGGCACAACAGTTGAAGTTCCTTGCTACAGTGCTGAGGTAGCGTCTGTTTCTCACTTTTAATCATGATTAATTGTATGCTTAGATGAAAACTTAGCAAGGGCCTTCATCACGATCTTCCAGTGCACTATCATTTTCTGTAATCTATGACATATAGAGCAAAATAGTGCAACAGTCTGAAGAATGTAAAATCATAAGTAGTGTAGCTTGTGTAACCTGATATGGAGTGTCTTCTATTGTTGTAACTATTTTCTGCTCCCATTATTAGTTAATTGTTACTTACAGGTCACCAGAGAGGTGGCTTATTTGAAGTGGGCAGTGATACAAAAGCACTACCTCGATTTACAGTATTAAGAATTACTTTGAAGGGGATTCTGAAGACATTGAGGACTTAGTATCTCAACTCCAGTGTGCTGGGAAGAGAGCGTTTAACTGCAGTGGTGAATTGACTCAGCGACTCCTACACGAGTGGCACTTTACACACTATCACAGACTCAACTCGTGCTTATCTGAGAACAAAAAAAATCACACATATCTATAGCTTTATAGCTCAATAATAGTGTAAGCAAAGAGGCTAATGACAGAATCCTACAAGTCAGAAGAAAGACTCAGCTGTGATATCCTGGGACGAAGGTCTTTTCTGAAGGGGCAGAGGAATGGAAGCGACTACCAAGAGCTGTTTCATTCATGGGGTCCTTCAAACATCCATAGCACAGACCACGATGCTTTCCAGCACCTATGACCTAATTCTTACAAGCTCATAAAAAAAGAAATCCCCTCCCCCTAGGGGAAAGTTGATAAAACTTTAATTTTACCTTTGCACACTATTTATGGTATATGAATCCTATCAGCAGAAATTTACACTTGATAGAAAGAGTTGAATGCCTTAAGTCTGTAAGATTTTTAAACATTTGGGGGGCATTACTAGACATCAGGTGCTATCAAAAAGTCATTTTCTTCTTGGTGAGAAATTTGTTCTTTCCTACGAAGGTTTCTCCTAACAGAAATTTTAGAAGACTCTGAAAAGCAACGTTTTTCCCTGAGGAAAATACCTTAAAGATGATTTATCTGCTTATCTCAGGATTAAATCAAAAGAAGCATTTTTACTGAGTTGAAGTAAAAACTATTGTACTAAACTAGGCATTTTACTTTCAAAAGCCACCACAGTAACAAACTTTCAGTGGAAGAGGAATGTATCATTTCAGTTTAGCTTGTATGATAGTATATTTTGAATCCTCTTGGCACAGAAATTAGGAAGTGTAACAGTGCAACAGAGCAACAAATATGAACGAAAAATAGGTCTGCCTTTCTTTACTTCTGAATGCCCAAGGAGTCAGCATGGCATGACTTGGGAAAAAGATTTATAAACTAGACAAACAGAAAAGCATCCTCCATTTAAAAGATGGGTTTAGTCTTTGTCTCTTGAAGATTTCACTCTCTACAAAAGAATCACACCTACACCGGACACCCACAGAGGCTCCCAGAGAACTTACCCTGCTTATGAAACTGGCATTTCATTGTAGACAAAGCGCCTCAGAGTTGTAGAGATGAAGTTCAAAGCAGGGGCCTGCCGACACAGCAACAACATCCAAACCAGCTCATTTGCCAAATGGGTAGAACTATATTCCAGCTCAAAACTATCCTAAAAACGCAAAACCACCCTTCTTCAGTCATCCGGGTGGCTCAGGTGTTGGAAAGCACAGGTAAGTTCAGTGCCGGCAGACTGCCGCCTTACAGGGTTTGCTACGTCTGAAATTAGGGAGCAGAGAGAAACTTGCTAGACAACAAACTCTACTTCATAGCTGCCAAAGTGGGATGACACACACACACACACACGCAATAATTATACACTGAAATGTTACTAAAGCTGAGTCGCTCATGGATGACTTAATAGCAGCAGTAGAGTATCTGAAACGATCACTGCTCTGCAGTTTACATACTATTTTCAAAAGAAAATGGTTATGCACATGCATTTGGGTTGTAAATTACATCCCTTTATGTCATGCTTAGTTTATTATATACTATGGAACTATTCAGAAAGCAAAGGAAAAATGAGAAAATGATCATGCTAAGTGCTCCAGAAAGCAAAACTGTTTGCTATTACTCTGAAAAAGTAGAAGTGGCCTTAGAAAACCTTACACTTGCACAGTGATAATGTCAGTGGAAATGTGGTGGGTGTGTTTAGATCTTTCCCTATATATAATAGTTGCTGATGAATACATACCCTCAGGGTTGGTGAGAATACAAACATGCCTGTTTCCATAAACGTAAGCACTGGTGTTACTTCTTGCTGTGCCAGCTACAGGAATGGCTTTTTTTCAGCTTTCCTAGTTTTAAGCTGTTGAGCAATGGTTAATGCAGACTTCTCTTTTTGCCAGAAAAGTGACCATCAGTACTTCTGCTCTTTTTATGGTCTTTCCATTATCACCAGAAATAGGATGTTTAACACTTGTATGCCTTTGCAGTGGGGCCTAAAAGATGTACTTACAGCTGCTGGCCTGTGCTTGATTAACAGAAAGGAACTCAAGGGGAACTACATAGGCCAGCAAACGTAGGAAGCTTCCTCCAGCTGTAGATAAGGGAAGAAAGAGTCAAATTTGGGGTTTTATTTGTTAGGAGGTATATAAAAAATATGGAAATAAAAACATAAAATAACCTAAGATACTAAGCCCTAGAACCAGATATTTTAATCTGAAGAATATGGCTTTAAAACATATCTACAAACTGCAAGTAAACTCCTCCAGTTCATCAAGTAGATACATTTGAAAACAGGACTGCTGGGTATTACACTGGTCTCAAATCTGCTGTGTGAAATACCAGGAGCAGACACTGTTTCTGGTAATGAATCAGCTTCCCACAAGCAGTGTGGTGAAACAGGCCATGCGTAGGCCAGTTTGATTTGGCACTGGGGATGGGGATACCTTTGGTTGGATTGCGCTGAGCATGCATCCAGCTCTGCCTGACGCAAATTTCTGATGTTATATGCCAAACCCTCTGCCAGGAAGGTTATTCACATCTTGTCAAATGACTGTGCCTGTGCTAATGTGCTATAAGCTAGAGTTAGCTGCTTTGATGGAATAAGGATTGAACACTGCCATTTAATCTTGCCTGGGAGAACATCAGCTAAGCTCTCAACACAAAGTGCGATAGACTGTTTATTTGAAGTTGCTCTGAGGATGGAAATGTGAAAATAGGCAAAGTTAGATTAAATCTGGGTGAAGGTGCATTTGAGGACTCTTCCTTTAACTCTCGTATCAACTACAGTAAGGAACCACTTGAATTCTTTTGCTAAAGAGAGAAAATGAGTTTGGCAGCAAGCAGCACTTTGAACTCAGAAAGCAGCTATATCTGAAAGCATCCAGATCTGTGTGGTTTAGCAGAACATAGGACCTAGCAGTGTGGTCTATTTATAATGTAATGGCAGTTATCCAAAAAGAAAAACCGGGACAAGCTACAACAAGAGAGTCAAAGCCCTGTTTCAAACCTGCCTATGAAAAGGTGTAGAAGATTGTGTAAACAGTAGCAGTTCATATGCACAAGAATTAAACTTCATCCTGCCTGCTCCATGTTAACAACTTCTTGTTCCATTATGAGGACAGCCTTGACTCAGACCCAACACACTTGACTAAACCCAAGTGTGGTCTTGTCTGTGCAATTGTCTGATTTAGGAAACCTGAGCCCAGACTGTTTCTAGCTA